ATATATTATTTGTATAAATTTGACACATACTTGATTTGAATCCAAAAAGAATAGTTGCGATTTTCGTTGCCATTGACCAAATGAAGGATTGCGTTTTTCCTGTAGATGAGGTACGAAAGTAGCTGCCAATATGAAACTGGTACTCTCGATAAGACACGTTTTCTTATAAACAGGTGTCGCGCTTTGTGGCGTAAACACGTACACTAAAAACACGTGAATTATGTTTATATTAGGAAAATGTATTATATATATGTATTATACGATAACACATGACAGATTACTAGATAGATTTAAAAAAAAGTGTTTTCAAGATAATTATATCTTTAGTAATAAAACAAATAGTACATAGAAAAAAGCTTATACAATTGAAACATACATGAATTATCAGATGTAAATGCTGCCATGTACGTCGATTTTGGATCGTATGTGAGACTAACAACATTCAAAGGTACACTCCATGTTATAGCAAGAGTTAAAATATTCCAAACTGTTATATGTTGCTGAGATGCAACTACTACAAGGTGACAGGCCTCGTGTTTGCCAAATTCTATTCGTCTATTATAAACATTTTACGATAATTATAATATTATTACATTTTGTATTTAGCTAAGAGTATATTAATCAATAATATGACAATATTTTACTGTCTCTTGACTTACGTTATTGGATGATTATATTGAGAATGTGTAAGACTGGATTTTAACTCGCAACTTTCAGGTATCCATATAGTTAGAGTAGAATAAAAACCAATAGCTAATAAAGAACCATCCATTGAAAAACCAGCATCTGTAGTAGCTAGATTACGATAGTCTCCTACTCCGTAGCAATACCAATGTTGTTCTACAACAAATGCAATTATATCAAATAGAAAAATACTTTGCTCAATTTTAAAGTATTTATATTTCGTTAAACAATTAAATATAAAATACTTTCTACAGTAGACGATTTTCCTAAATTCCATAATTTAAATTTGTTATCCTTCCCAGTTGTGACTGCTAGCCATTCTCCATCGTCAAATATCGTATTTGGCTGAAAATGTAATGCATTTACTCCATTCTCATGAGGTAATTCAATGGATGTATTTAATATAAATCTAAAATGTAAAAAAATTATATATTGATATCGCGATTATGCTAAATAAATGCGACAACCGATTTATATAAGGCATTCTTACATCTGTTCATTTACATCATATATCCAAAATTTTAATCTAACTTCTATAGATGAAACTTTATCATTTCGTTCTTCGACTGTTGCCATCCATGTGCCATCGTGATTAAGAGCTATTTTTGTAACTTCAGTATTTACAATAATTACATCGCGTTCTTGGGTAAGAAAATTTTGTGCAGTTATATTAATCTGGAAAGTTTATAAATATTTCATTCTTTTCATTAATTTTCATTTTCTGGTTTCTTTTTATACCACTTTACCTTCAACATGCGATAAATTTTACTTACATTATACAATAGATTTTTTGTATGAGTGTTGTAAAATTGAACGTGGCCAGTCCGGCTATTTAAAACGAGGCTACCTGTCCTCGGATCGACAATAAGTCCCGCGGGAAACAAGTCTTTGGACGACGGAGCAACGCCCCAAGTAAAGTTTTGTATCACTGATGTCAATTTTCTTTGAGGATTTACAATAACAATACCTATTAAAATCAGGTTGAGTAATGAATTGTTATAAACCTGCTATTATTAGGACACTTATAGTGAAAAACAATAAAGCTTTACCATTGTCTAAAGTCGATACAGCTACATATAAATTGTCAGGCGCAATAGTGAGATGTTTAATAGGTGCTGGTAATCGTGGAAGAAAAGACTTATGTTGTGGATTTGCTAGAGTCCATTTTACTAATACACATTCACCACCACCCGTATACATGTGGCCACCTGTAAAATGAGCAAATGTAGTTTAACACTAACTTACTAGCTTACAATATACGAAAGAAATCATACAAAATGTCAACATTGTAACAATATATATATATTACCTGATTTACTAAATACTATTTCCGTAACTGGCAATGTATGCCAATGAAATACAGCTGTATATGGTCTAGTTTGGAATAAATTTCTCCATACTACTACACGACCAGTCAAATCTCCTGTGGCGACACATTCTTCTTCTGGATGTCCCGCTATACAAGTAGGTAATCTATTTGGGTTGCCAGTCTTGTGTCTGCATATTATTATATATTTAACATGTGATATAAGTATCACTTTCAAATGTGTATTAATTTAATATATACAATAGCTCAAAAAAATCTTACATTTTATCGACTAAATTTCTAGCTGGATTTAATATATGTAAATTTTCATCATGTAAAAGTGCTATTAAATTCTGTTCATGGTTTCCAATTATATCAACGTAATACTCTCGTGAGTTTGTGCTAAAAATATAGAAAATGAATTATAAATGTTGTATAAAGCAAGAAAATATTTAAGCATGCAATTATTTTAGACAATTTATTTTTTATGAAAAATGAAGAAAATAAAAGATAATTAAGAAATTTCTCACAAGATGTATATTGATTTCATGCATGTTCCATTCTCTATATCAAATAAAAGTATATATATTTTGTTCCCGCAGTTAGAGAGATAAGTTATTAGCACTTGACATATCTCATTTCCTTGAAACGTTTTATATTTTGTAACGTGAAAAGTTTTAATTTTTGCCTTGCTATCTGTTACAGATTTTAATTGCTGCAAAAGTATCAAAGGTATAAATATATATTCGCAGTATTTCTACATACAAGTTCATACAAATACAAACAAACTTATGTTTAATCCAAATCTTACTAGTTTCTTGGTGATAATGCCACTTTGACAATTCCAGAAATCCAACTCGCCGCTTTCCGTACAACCGATAATAACGTTGGCATTATCCGTATGTACTATTATTCCAGCAATTCTGTAATTCGACGGCTCAAACTCTCGCACAAAATCTCCCGTTTGCGTGCTGTATACCCTTATGAGATTCTTCCACACTATGTGCAAAGTTCTGAAAAAATATCCTCGTGTTACCCAATAATAATATCTGATGTATTTAATGAATCGATTGAAACGCGAAGAAATGGATAAACTCACTCTCCGTCGCTGGAAAACAGTGGACGTTGATCAATTATACTTCCGCCGCCTTTTCTTTTTACTATCAAGTCCTCCACATCAGAGTGGACGAATTCCATTTTGTATATTCTCTTTTTTTCTTTTTTTCTTTTTTTTTTTGTTTATTGAAAAGCTTCCAATTTATAGAAATTATTTTTTTTTCTTCTCGCTACCTAACCCTTTTTTAGAGCCCCCTTTTTATGGCCCTCGCACACTGGACGCGATGAGCGATAAGCGATGGGCGATATCCAATGAGAGCTCTGCTTTTCCAAACGTCACATCCGTCGCGAGGTTCGGCGCGACATCGCTCAAAAAGTTGGCCAAGTTTCTACTTTCGTCGCTCGCTTTCGTTGAATGCTTGTCCAGACTGTGTAGTGAAAAGAGAAGTGGGATCCAATTGTCCACGTCGCCGATTGGCCAATTAAAATAGAACTCTCTGATTGGTCAATCGTTTCTGGTTACCCTAGGCACCAGTCGATATGAGTGGCTGTGACCATTTGCAAAGTGATCAAATAGGACGCTCCTCGTAAATACACGACCATGTAACATTCTTATGAATGTTATATTTCATAATTGAAACGTATGTTCCGCGGTTCCGCGTTCCATGTTTCGTGTTTCATGTTCCGTCCAGCTTCATCAGCTGCCCACGGTTTGCATAAATTTCTGATTTGTTTCGTTGAATGTCGCGAATATCCATCGATATATAAGGAGAAAAGTTAAACCCAACTTATATTCAGATTCGATGACGTGTAGTCTCCCGTTAAGCCCGTTCTACATTGATCGCATGTCGCCAGTCGCAAGCAAATCGACCAATCACAGTCGAATATTCGACGGAATAATCGACTGTGATTGGTCGATTTGCTTGCGACTGGCGACATGCGATCAATGTAGAACGGGCTTAACGGGAGACTACACGTCATCGAATCTGAATATAAGTTGGGTTTAACTTTTCTCCTTATATATCGATGGATATTCGCGACATTCAACGAAACAAATCAGAAATTTATGCAAACCGTGGGCAGCTGATGAAGCTGGACGGAACATGAAACACGAAACATGGAACGCGGAACCGCGGAACATACGTTTCAATTATGAAATATAACATTCATAAGAATGTTACATGGTCGTGTATTTACGAGGAGCGTCCTATTTGATCACTTTGCAAATGGTCACAGCCACTCATATCGACTGGTGCCTAGGGTAACCAGAAACGATTGACCAATCAGAGAGTTCTATTTTAATTGGCCAATCGGCGACGTGGACAATTGGATCCCACTTCTCTTTTCACTACACAGTCTGGACAAGCATTCAACGAAAGCGAGCGACGAAAGTAGAAACTTGGCCAACTTTTTGAGCGATGTCGCGCCGAACCTCGCGACGGATGTGACGTTTGGAAAAGCAGAGCTCTCATTGGATATCGCCCATCGCTTATCGCTCATCGCGTCCAGTGTGCGAGGGCCATAAAAAGGGGGCTCTAAAAAAGGGTTAGGTAGCGAGAAGAAAAAAAAATAATTTCTATAAATTGGAAGCACTTCAATAAACAAAAAAAAAAAGAAAAAAAGAGAATATACAAAATGGAATTCGTCCACTCTGATGTGGAGGACTTGATAGTAAAAAGAAAAGGCGGCGGAAGTATAATTGATCAACGTCCACTGTTTTCCAGCGACGGAGAGTGAGTTTATCCATTTCTTCGCGTTTCAATCGATTCATTAAATACATCAGATATTATTATTGGGTAACACGAGGATATTTTTTCAGAACTTTGCACATAGTGTGGAAGAATCTCATAAGGGTATACAGCACGCAAACGGGAGATTTTGTGCGAGAGTTTGAGCCGTCGAATTACAGAATTGCTGGAATAATAGTACATACGGATAATGCCAACGTTATTATCGGTTGTACGGAAGACTGTGATTGGTCGATTTGCTTGCGACTGGCGACATGCGATCAATGTAGAACGGGCTTAATGCGATACATCCCGCTTTTTATCATACGTCATTGGCCGCGTTCAGCAGAGAAAGCACTCAGTTATCGTCTTGTCAACACTTGACGTTGATTCGTTGGTTCTAAAAGTAAGAACCAATCACATTCGATTGCTACTAAGCGGTTTTCTCTGCTGAACGCGGCCTTTAGCTTGCTTTGCTGTACGAGTATACGAGCGATAGATGATCGTTGTTATAGAGGAGAGAACATCGTATTGATACAATGTCATTATTCAACAAGCCGAAGCGAAATATACGCCGACGTCCTTTCAACGATGAGGATGAAGATAATGAAAACAGAATAGAGGTGGAGGACGCGCAGCCTGTCAAAATTAAGACGAAGAAGAAGGATAAGCCAAAGCAGACGCGCCTCAGTTTCGGAGAGGAGCTGGAACAAGGTGTATATACACACACACACACACACACACATCGCTTTCGCGTAACATGCACAATTACTGTGCATATGAGTAAATCTGTTTTCGCTTTTAATAAAAATATAATATGACATGTAAAATAAGATTTTACAGGGGTATCTTCATAACTGCGATAACAGGAATAAAGATAATGCTTTAATATAGCTGTGTTTTAATATATAGAGACAGAGTAGAGATGCTGTGCCTGCCAAATCTATTATTAAATGTTATACGATAGAATATATTTTGATTGAAATTGAAAGTTGAAATAAATTGCAGGGGACGACGGAGAAGTTTTTATAGTCAAGAAATCGTCGAGGAGCAAAAAGCTGATGAAACAGCTAGATCACGAGAGGAAGAAAAAGAAAGGTGAAGAGAAAATGCAAATGGACACTGAGCAAGCGAATAAATCCATTAAGCAGGAAAAAGATTTAGAGATAAAGACAGATGATCTAGTAGTAAGCTATCTCTATGATGTTTTATTATTATTAGCATTTCTTCAATTTAAGTAACTTATCATTTAATATAGAAGGTGTTTTTTACATCTCTCTTCCTAATGTATTGACTAATGTTTCAAGATTTGGAACAACTGTGGGAGTACAACAAGAAGACACATTTATAATTTAAATGTCATTTTTCACACAATGTGTTTTATGTTTATAAATTAATGCCTATGTATATCAAAAGCATTTTACTCACAGATACAAAAGTGTTCTTCTTTTTCTTTAAATTATTAAATTTAGACAAATACAAATTTGTACGTTATGATCACTTGAAATATATTTTCTATAATAATTTTCTATCTTATCGATTACATGTACAAGCAAAAGATATGTCTATGTTATAAAGATTTTGTTTCGAGTGCTCCTTGAATTATCTGATCTTGATTCTTTATTATCTATCTTGAGTGTTGATATATACACAATCTCTCATCTTGCAGTAAGCCGATTTTTATTATAAATTAACACAATTTTTGATGTAGATATTTTTGTATCTTAAATATTGTGTTAATGTGAATACATTTATATATTATGTTAGTGAGAATATATATATATTAATTTCGGAATAATATATATTAAATTGTACTTTTTGCAAATCTTTTCTTTTCGTAAAAAATTTCCAACGTGATATATTTTCACAAATTTTGTGAATTTTGTCACTTGTGTGACATTGTGTATCTTTACTAAATGATGAATAATCTTTATTGCTAGGTTAAAATAAAAAACACGGGACCCCTGATTTTGAACGGACGTGCTGCGTTGGCAGCAGGAAAGGATGACTATACATCGGATGAAGAGGAAGATGAGTCTTGCAGTCACAAATTTCGGAAAAATACAGATAAAGCTGAAACTGTTAAGATACTACTTGAAAGTATGTAATTTCTTTATTATTTATATAAGTTACAATATTCTAAATATGAATACTGTTACATATGTATTTCCAGCATTTTGATTAAATGGAACATTTTATTGTTATGTGTTTATTTAACAATCCATATCTTTTAGATGAAGCTGAAATAGAAAGAAAAGCATTTTGCTCTGCATTTTATTTTCAGATATTAAAACTAAGTGGTATTATAAATCATGTATATGTTATAAAATTATTGGCATATTATTTTGATTTGATGTAGTAAGATATTTCTATATTTCCCGAAATGTGATAATATTATAATTGTTAATATTATTTAGGTGGATGTATACCTGACGCAGCTATGATCCATGCAGCGAGAAAGCGTAGACAGAAAGCAAGAGAATTGGGAACTGATTTCATTCCTATTGAAGAGCAAAGGTCTATTTCTTTGTTAAAATTTTAAAAAATTATTTAATAAATGGAAAATTTATATATACATCTTGCAGTATATTAGTCATATATTTATTATTAATGCTTTCTTGTAACAAATTTATAACTCATTCAACAATTTAATTGTAACAATTCATTTGTAGTGATGACAAGGGCAAGTCCAGACTAATACGAGAAGAAGATCATGATCAAAGTGACGATGATGATTCTCAAGACCGACTTGATATGACTGTCAACACAGAAGCACGTGATAAAGAAAAGAGGAGAGAAGCATTTCTTGCTTCTCAAGTTCCAATAAAATGTGAGTTTTTAGTTATAATATTTATCTAAGCAATTATATCTTCCAGTTATAATATTGTAGTTAGAAAATGGAATTCAGAACGCATTTTAATTTAGTTTCAGATAATGAAAGTGAACACGAAAATGAAGAAGAAGAATGGGAAGCTCAACAGATACGAAAGGGTGTAACCGGCGCTCAGGTAAAAACAGTTCAACAAACACCAAGATGTAAAAAAATAAAAAGTTTCCACACAAAAAATCTTCTGATATGCAGATTGCAGCGGCACAGCAGGATTCTATGTTACAACAACAATATACAATGGGTGTGAATGTTAATCAAATGATAGGATCTGGTGTATCTTTAGAAATGGTATTAATGCCTGCACCGCCACCACCTCCATCCATTCAACCACCAGATCCGACAAAGATTGTACCCCTTACACCACAAGAAGTTGTGGACAGAATGCGCGCAAGGTTTTATATATTTCATATAAAGTTAACGTACATTTTAGGCTTTAAACTAAAAGAAAAAAATAGAGTTTATAAAATCAGTTTATATTTAGAGACCACACTATTGTTGCTTAAAGGTTGGACAGTTTGAAAGAGGTACATAGACGACATCAGCAAGATCAGGAGCGTTTAGAACAAGAATTACAGCAAACCGTGAAAGAATTGGACGAGGGCGAAGTTCGTACGCCGCATTACGCACAACGCTTCAGATATTACCAAGAGTTGCGTGGGTATGTCACTGACTTGGTAGAGTGTCTTGATGAGAAGGTGGGTTGATACGCTGTCACGTTTGATTTATGTGCACTGGGGTTTATCGTACAGTATGTGCGGCTGGCAGAGATTCTCCAGCTTCAGTAAAGTACCAGCAATTTTATATAATTAACCATTTAAAATTTCACTATTTGAGTTTATTATGCAAAATCTAACTATATAAAACTTACTCATAATTATAAAAGCATTGGCCAAATCAGATTTGATTAGGAAAATTATGCTTTCAGTTATTATAACTATATGTATATACTTCATAAACATAAAATATGTAAAGTATAGGAAAAATTTATGATCTTTTGCTTCTTTGATATTGTAACTCAATTTGACTGCAACAAATCAAAAGATTCAAATTATACTACTTGAAAAAAATATTTGTTTAGTTGTTTTTTTTATTTATACAGATCTATTCTTTGTGAAACAGATTACAAGCATTATTGCAGTTATTATCATTTTAATCTAAATTAAATTTGAAGTCAAAATTCTGCAAAATAAACTTGGTTGGCATAATTTTTCATGATTTGTTTTTGCGAGCATCTCAATAATAGAATAATAAAACAATAAAATAACTAATCTTTTCAAGTAGTTTTATTGGTGCTCCTTTAAGCGCTAAACTAAAGGGGATGTGTATATGTAATACATGTCTCTCTATTGCCGGGGGTCATTATCTTCTCTGTATTATATATTACTTTCACACATACATACCTTAAAAAGATGAAATTTATTATATATATAAGAACAATTAATACAAATTAACTTGATCGTGGTAAGTAAATGAATGCCTATTTATCATTGTAATGTATAAACAAAATTATCATAAACAAGTTTTTTAAATAATGAAATTTACCGATCAAGACAAAAAAAGAGTTAATATTTTTCAAGTTTATCATCTCTATCATTATATTACAAAATCATTAAATTAGATATGATCAATATTGAGTAATGGAATATATTTATATTGTGTATTTACTTAAATACATAATTCTTTTGTTAGCTTCCTCTGGTTATCGAGTTGGAGCGACGCTGGTTAGATCTGTATGGCGAACGCTCGACCGAATTGATGGAACGGAGACGACAGGACACGAGGGATCAGGCAGAAGAAATAACTGCAGCAAGTCAGTAAATACATTTTTATACTAATCAATATACATACAATTGATAGAACTTGATATAATTGATGCAATTATTTTTATTCTTTAATCTTTTCATTTTTATTTATTCGATTTATTTAAGTCATCCTTCTAATCGAAAAATTTTATAGAAAAATTCTACAACCCTTTTCATTTTATAGGAGGTCAAGCTATGAGAAGAGGACCGGAAGTAGAAGCTCATGTACGACGAGCTACAGAAAGGGAAGGTAGGAGAGCCCGTCGTAGAAGAGCGAGAGAATTAGCTTCAAATATGCCAAAACATATCGATGGCATGTCTAGTGACGATGAAGTTACTGAGCAACAAAATCTCGCATTTAAACAAGCAAAAGGTAATAGATTTTTGGTATTCTTCCCTTAAAGTTTCTTATTTACACTTTTAACATACAATTCTTATATTATACATTTTTTTTATCATATTTCAGATGAAATTGATAATGATTGTAAAAGTATATTTTCTGATGTCATGGAGGAATATTGTACAGTACGTGGTATACTTTCAAAGTTTGAATTGTGGAGAGAGACGGACATAGACGCGTATACAGAAGCTTATGTGTCGTTATGTATACCCAAAATTATTTCTCCAATTATCAGATTACAATTAGTTGGCTGGAATCCAATTATGGTAATTTATTTATTCTTCTCGATAAGATATAGCATTATTGATTCATAATTAATTTTTTGGACTGTTCTCATAGGAAAGCGCTGACATAGAGAGGACAAAATGGTACAATACATTGCTTCTATACGCTTTAGATAGCAAAGAGACGGAGGAGTCGTTGAAACGAGATCCGGATGTTAGATTAATACCATTCACAATTGAAAAGATTGTAATCCCAAAATTGACATGTAAGGATTACTCTTTTTATAGTTTTTATAATGTTACTATTTATAAAACTGCATGTGCTAAGAATAAAATAATTCTATTTATAATGTACTTAATATTATAATTTATATTTAATATATAATATACTTAATATGTTATTTTTTAGCTATTATCGAAAAGATATGGGATCCAATGTCGACATCTCAAACTTTACGTCTTGTAGGGGCTACAAATCGTCTCATCAAGGAATATCCGAATTTAAATGATACAAGCAAACAATTGAAAATTCTATTTAATATTATTTTAGATAAAATTAAGGCTGCTGTTGAGAATGATGTTTTCATACCCATCTTTCCAAAACAGTCAGTATATTCTATATATATTTTAATATATATATAATTAAGTTATTGTAAATATTTTTCATAATTATATCTTTTCGCTAACTTTGACAAACTTTGCTATTCTAGAGTTTTTGATACAAAACATCAATTTTTCCAAAGACAATTTGCAATGGCCGTCAAGTTACTGCGCAATTTATTAAGTTGGCAAGGTCTTCTTGGAGATATGCAGCTAAAAAACTTGGCGTTAGGCTCACTTTTGAATCGTTATCTTCTGGCCGGATTACGAGTGTCTTGTCCAACTGATGCTTTATTTAAAGCAAACATGGTAATATATTTAACATATGTATGTTTAAAATATATTTAATATATATAAAATCACACGAATTATTAAAAGAAAAGTTTAATGCTTTAAGTGTCGGTTGTAATGAATAAAATATTTATCAATGTATATTAGATCATGAGTACGCTACCAAGAACGTGGCTACAAGGGGAAACTATAGAACATCTCAGAATGTTTGCCGCCCTTATTCAACAGCTTAGCGAACAGTTGGATCAAGCAAATCCTGCACATCAGTAAGTTTATTAATAATATTTTTCCGCAATTGATGACACATTTTTCCGTGTCATGAATCGTCTAGAATATGAACGCATCTAAAGCAACTTTGCATATTGCAGTGAAGCCTGGGAATATGCCAAGTCCATCTTGAAAATAATCAAGCCATTGTAATACGTTAATTATATTATGTATGTATCGGTAATGTTTTACCAAATTTCTTGCTTTAGATCATTTTATATATA